AAAATATCTTTCCAAACCAAAACAAAATAGCATTAAACAACATTTTCTAAGACCTCTCAATATTATAGTTTTACAAAAAGGAAGATTTGGTTCATTTAACAAAAGTATTTAAAAAATTAAAACAAAAAAACAAAAATAGATAAAAATTAAAGTAAACATTTAATTTCATTAATAAGATACTTTTCTTAAATCATCCAAACTTTCCTTTGTATAATTACAATATTTAGAGACCTAAACAGGTTGTTTATTTGTCATTTTGTTATAATGAGGTTCGAATAGATTTTTCATTTCATTCCGAACATATGATACCAAGAAGAAAAGAAATGTCTGATGTATTTTCTAAAACAAAATAGAGAAAACTTTTTTTCCATCTGTTCAATTCAGTTCGCCATACCGATACCAATCCTTTTAGTAAAAAGAGATGAGATATACAGGTTGTTCAATAAATAAAGCTCATTTTGCTCTAAAACTTCTATTTTGCAAAATACAGACTGTTTCATAATGACTGTCCCCCAACAACTTGCTGCATATCTCTCGAAAAGGTACCCATTTTACCTTTAGTAAAGAATCTGAAAGTCACAGTTTTCCAAAATTAGCCATGTGCCCCCCCCCCCCCAAACAGCTATTATAACCATGCCTTACTACACTATCATTATCTATTGTTATATATGACTTATAACACCTGATGGATGCTGAGGAGGATGTATTTTGATGATATTTGAAAGATAAAAGTAATATCTAGCTTTTCTATATCACTGTTAATTCCTCACTCTCTGATTGGTCCATGTCCTACACCTGACTAAAAAACAAGTGATATTCAACGGAAGTCAAAATATCAAATGATATTCACCAACCACAACTTAGTGCGATGTATTATTCATTTCATATATCCCCAGGAGTACACTGTTATTATTAATCAAAGTGAATAATAAGACAAATATTCAATTCTATTTTCTGTGAATTCCTGTGACACTTTCACAAGATGGTATTCCACTAGCTCCTTTCTTTAATTCCATTAAGAATAGTAGCCACAAATAATGAAGACTTTGGGATAGTAACCTAACCAAGTGTAATTTCACAATCTATTAAACTATGAATATTCAAAAGAGGACATTTAAATCTACAAGATGTAAAAATAACAAATTGGTCTGAAGCAGGGATAACGCTCAATTAGACCGATTCAATAAAATACAAGTCTCGATTTGGGGAAAGAAGTCCATAAGTGTACTGCGCTAATATTTTTTTACGAATAATCTAGAAAAAATTACCCAAATTAAATTATGACTATTCAAAAGAGGACATTCAAATCTACATTATGTAAAAAAAATCAAATTTGTCTGAAGCAGGGATAATGCTCATTTAGATTGATGAACTTCGTTCTCCAAACCGAGAATCGTCCTTTATTTAGATGTAGTGTTTCTGAAACTATAGATGGCTTTTCATTTCTTGCTCTTATCTCTTACAAATGGAAAAATGAAAAGGAAAAAATAAAAGCCTTATAGATATCACTATCATATGCATAAGGCATTTGGTAAGGAAAAAAAATTCTCTTATTTCACAATACATATCAAAATTTCATCATATGGCTAGCAAGAACATTATAGACCACTGATTGACATTTGTTGTTGGCATTTCATGTTCAGTAAACCTGTAGTTCTAATGACTTCTTTTATTGCTGGTCACAACTCTGGAATGATAACAATGTACAATGTGTTTTTCCCAATGTGACCTTAAATGTACCTATTAACTCAATGGTCATCAAAACTAAAATTTAAACATATGAAAAAATGTCAAAGAAATACAGTTTGTCAAAAGTAAACCTCAATTACTAATTATCCCCACCAAAACTACAATGATAAAAAAATCCTTCTACAAAAATATGGATAAAATTGAGAACATTCATGATAAAATAAAAGAAAGTATTTGTTTACTCACCTCAAACTGTTAAAACAAGTAGTCGTTAATTAACGTCACTGCTAAGTGGCTGCTTGCAAAATGGCCGAATGACAATTTATAACAACATGAAATCCTTTCAACGGCTCATCAAATGAACGGAAGTATTGGAATCCCACATAGGGATTAATAAAACAATCACACGACATGAAATAATGTTAAACAGATGCGATATCAATTCAATTGTTGATTCAGGCATCTGCACTTATCCAATAGGAGCCGATGGAAAACTATCATAAGCAGGAAGGTGACATCACAATTAATATGGATTTTGCTGAATTTTGTTTAGCGAATGTTTGTATTTGATATGAAATGACATGTAATGTTTGATTTTAGTAAAATTTAAATATAATATATGACTTAAGACTAAACACTGCCTTTTTAAAGCGACACAATGCTGTTGTCATAAATCATGATATTTATTCAACATATTCAATACACTGTAACATTGAATTGTATGTGATTTGCTAATCCAATTAAATAAGCACAGTAGTTGTACAGCAATGAAATATTACATTGAAAATATTGTTTTAGTTTTTAGTCTTCTTGACTTTTATACAAAAAATGATATCAGCTGACATCTACATCAATAATATCTGCAAAAGGCTAATATGCCCATAGTAGATTAGCAGTGATAGAATTTGAATAAAATATAATTTAAACCTTTACATTTAAATATTTAACTATTTCCCAAATTGAATCTATTTTCAAAGAAAATGTTTTAATCAAAATAATTCTTTGAATAATAAAATGTATTTCTTTCATAAATTGACAAGTTTAAGTTTATGAAGAATAAAGTCAGACCTCCTGTTCTCCTAGGTATGGCATAGTATGAATATGTGTGAGCATTACATGTTTTTAAAATTGTGATAAGTTTTTTTTAGAAAGTTTCAAAATGTCTCTAGTCCCATTTAATTGCAAATGAAACAACAAAATCTTATTTTGTTCAAAAAATAGACTGAAATATGACCCTACATGTAATTTATATTTCACTCAGATTAAATGGTAGATGTGTAGATAAATATATATTGTTTATATCACTACCATACCTCTTAGTACCAAGAACAGGCAATATGAATTGTCGAAATCCATGAACTTGGCTATAAGCTGATAGTAAGCGTTCCCTACAGATAGATGGCAGTGCAGACTCAGGTGCGAAAAGGTCGAGATAACCTGGAGTTTACCATTACAGGTTGACAAATGATATTAAATTTGCAAAGCAGGAAACAACAATACAAACAATTTAAATTTATCCACATTTGATACCTACCTTATAAATATTTCAGCAAAATGATTAATTTAGACAATGTAGACTAAACTAAAGCCTGTCATGAAAAACAGTATTGTCTTCATAAAACCTTTTGAGATCATCCACATATTAAGAGAGATGACAGAGTAATCACCTTGGAAGATGATGTATGAATACTTAAACTATCATTTTACTGTCTGTATATCTATGAAGTGATCTCCTTAGGATCTATTTGACCTGTTAATTATCTAAACCCCGTAAAGCAATCAATCATTGGATAATGTTGATATAAATCAATTTATGTTTACTTTATATTTCAAAGATAATCTCTTACTTATCTTGACAAACGTGTGTTAATGTGTTTTGAGTGGACATTTTTTTGGTACATATTTTATGATATATTTCTAACATCATGTTCATGAAAATAATACTACATGTTGCAGATTGGGTTCTGGATACAGAATTTATTCTGAGGGTAAAATATAAAGATATTGACCATGAATTACAATGGTGCAATTTATCATAATGATTAACCATGACAATGATCTCCCCAGGATTTTTTCTCATGTGAGTGCAAAATTCTCATTTGCACAATTCGGACCAAAATTGGTCAAAATATGCCAATTTTTCATGATTTTCCTCATTTGCAGGTGGGTGCAAATGGATTCTCAGGTGGTTGTAAGCCTATTTCTATTTTCGAAATCTCAGTTGGGTGCTGCGCCCACTTGCTTTAATGCTGGGGAGATGACTGCATGATATACCATTTTTAATCTAGAAAAGGCAATTTTGTGGGACCATGGTACTTCATTGCATTTCATGGTCATGGATCATTGTGGTACATGTATGAGTATGACCATGGTCCATTTCAGCATGCATTTCACATTATCTTAAGAGGTTTACATAAAACTGACTTGAAACAACTATTTACATGAAATCTATTTTTTCCTAAGAGGCTAATATAACCTACTTTGTTCATACTTTGTTTTTTACAAGTATTAAGAGTCTCTAGATAAAGTTTGTTGCATTGATAATCCTTGACAAATTTGATTGCCGAATATATTTACAGTTGTCCCCTTAAAACTAAAATGGATCCACCTATCACATTAGCTAATATTGGTATTTAATTATTTTTACAATTATAATCCACTTTTATCTTCAAATTCAGTTCATTGAGTAATGAACACTTCATATTAAATATAATAAAATTGATAATTTACTATCCTCGGGTATATGAAAAAATCATAAATATGCAGTTACGCAATTAAAATAAATATCTGATGAATGTTAACTGCAGAATTATCAATGTTCTGAACAACATTATAAATCATTGAGTAAAAGATTGGGGGACTATAATAGACTTATAATGTAACTCAAATTGAATACAAAACAATAAATATACAAATTTGGCATCATTCTGGTCACTCACATGGTAAACAAGCAGAATGTTTCAAAATGAGGCTTAAGTGGGACCAGGAACTAATGGTGTAGACCAGCATTAACCCTGATGAAATGGATATGAGAGTTGGTTTAGAAAATGGGACTAAAATTGTCCGAAAATTGTTGATGGACAGTGTCATAAGACAGGCAGAAATGGATAGACAGACAGACATAGAAACATATGAGTCCTTTAAGCTCCCCATGTGAGCAAAAAGGCAAAATCACATTCTTCTGAATTTCAAAAACAATAACGTAAATATTCTCTTTCAGACACTCTAGGGACCCCAGTAAACCCTGTTTCAAGAATATCAACCAAATAACCCAACATATATAGGTAATATAGAAAAGAAACAAACAGTACCTCCCATAATGCCAATGTCTCCATCTTTTTGTCTATGAGTGTATTTTGATCAAGATTTATTCCCGTCTCTTCATGAAATTCTCGCAAGCCTGCATCTGTTATCTGCAACAAGAGATATTATACACATATTTTATGTCTCATAGATCTCAGCTTTCCTCACCGACTACAAGGTGGCTATAGGGCTAAATGGGGATTACATGTACATGTATATACGATTAAATGAGAGTAACTTACTATTCAAATAGTTTAATTTCTTATTATTGACCTCATGACTCCTATTCAGGTTGTTTATGGTAACTCATGTTTTTTTGAAAGTTTGTGTCTAATATTTTACCAAATAAAGGTTTTTAAAAGAAATTTGACTTTACCATTCATCATCATCCTAGGTGGTTGCATAAACTTCTAATGAATACCCAAAATAAGTGTAAAAAAGCAAAATGTGTATCATGCTTTGCTTACAGTTTCATTGAGTTCTATATGACCTCCAGGCATCACCCAAACCCCAGGGAACGTCCTTAAATGGCTGGCTCTGCGGGTCAAAAGTATTTTATCATCACATGTATGCAGCAGGACTACAGCCCCTACATCTATACCTCTGTCTAAAGTCTCATTTGGGAGACTACTTGCACCCTCAGGTGTCAAGTTGTGAATGGGACAGAATGTAGGATGCTGGAAGTAAAATCATAGATTTAATCATTGTCCTCATTCTGCCATTCTGATACTCATAGCACCTCTCTCTATTGCATCGCAGATGTCCAGAAGGATAGAGATGGAGAGGGTGTGGCTTACCACGATGTCATTCTACATTTAATGCATTAAGCCATTATGTACCCCCCCACCTGAGCCAGCTCACAAACATTGCAGCCCAATTATATGTCATTCACATTATGGGAAGTTTATGTCTTAAATTTGAACAATATGTTGTATGGCTCTCATTGTTCATTACATGTAGCAATCAAATAGGCAGATAGGGCACCCAATCAGAAACCCTATCATAAGTGTTGTTTAATTATCAATTACGAAAACTGGCTCAGGAATCTTCATTTTAGAGCAGATGTGGATAAACACTATAAAACAGACTTAACTTTAACTTTGAAGTGCACTATAGGCTTGTCATGATAAAGTTTTGATTATATAACAAAACTACATGTATGTAAAAAGGGTTAGAAGCATGGCAGGCAATGATCAATAAATTGATAAGACAATTTATCCATGAGTTTCATTGTGTGCAGTTGATGAAGCCTCACAGTGGAATATTTGATACAAGATTCAACCATTTTTTCATTGTTAAAGTAAACTTTTATACAGATATGGACAGTACCTTCATTTTGACCCTGTTAGAGGGAGATGGAGAAGACAAAATAACTTTGTTGTCAGTGAGTTGAAAACCAATGTCCATAGTTGGTACATCGCTATTGTAGCAGTCTAGGATACACTGCAATTATACAATACAAACATACAAAGATTATATAATCTATAACTGAATCTGTGTCAATCAAAACACTTCTCTAAGACACGAAAGTGCATTTCTGCTATTATAGGTGAATAATAAAGTCAAAAATAAAGTTGAAACGCTATTGGGTTGATATTTCAACTTGAAGCTCAATATTTCCTAAAATTCACATCAATAGATTAAATCAAGTGATTTGATGGCTTAATTACAGGTATGGAGTATACTGTACGGTAGTCCAACAACATTAGACCTAGCCTGGGCCTCGTTTCTTATCTGACATGTCTTATGGCCCCGGCTAGGTCTAACCTCCATGATCATTTTGCCCTTGATGCGTTAATTTAATCGTTCCGCCGGTTTCGACAAGCGGAACTAATTAAACCCTGAAACCATGGTAATATCTACACAATTAAAGAATGTGATTGACGCATGCATACATACCTTATGAATACATACACACCATCCCGTATCCCCCTTAGACCCTATATATTGATGCATAATTACGAAAATATTGGAGACAGGTTTGGAATATAACGAAAATGTCGGTCAGTTTCGGTAACATCGAAATTGCAAATCGTATCAGAAATTAACCGTCATTGCGGCACTTCATTTACAAACAGTAGGTTTGCAATTAATAACTATTTTGCGTGTATACACGCGCTATATAAATCAATCAAAGATACCTGTTATCCTCAAAATTTATCTTTTAATGCGAGTAATCGCGATAATAATTATCAATCTATTTGACAACAATTTCGTTTCGCTAGTAGTTTAATTTTACGATCCGGGACACTCGGACGAACAGACACAATGACGGACATGCGGAAATGTCATTTTAGAGATCGGTAAGTGTAGCCTCATTTACGAGTATAAATGAACATTTAACACAATAATATCGTGTTAAATCGCTTGATGTTATGTGTTTTTATGTTATTGTCAAGTATCAATTGCATGTTATCGCGGAAAAATGGTTTCGATGGATCCAGAACTTGCATCAAAGGAAAGAATAGTAAAGAGGTTAAACTCAATAATGGCCCCAAGAAAATTCCTAATAGTAAAGAACGCCGTTATTGAGTTTAACGACATTGAACTAACTGTAAGGGTGCCCATGATGGAAAAGCGTTTACACTAATTTCTATCAAATGCTGTGTTTATGCATCATCAATGACGCAACAAAGGTGATATGGTTTCATTAAGATTTGGGTTCTAACCTTTAGAAGGTAAGTAAGACTCCCAAACGTCAGCTAACTCTTATATTTAGCATGTTAGCGACGAATTCAGGCCATGAAAAAAATAGTAGTTGAGATGACTGGTGCAGGAGATATTGATAACTTCTAAAATTGAGATGACCATTATGTATTGACTAGGCTGGCTGCCTTAACGTTAACATTTTTGATTATATCTTTGAAAAGATAATGTTCAATGCATATCATCATTGAAACTCAAACTGAAAATTCTTCAAAGATTTTTCATTTTTTCCCACCAGATTTTGCAAACAAAATAGCCCCATCCAGCCTAACCATGGAAATGTTATTCTGTTCACTTCAGTGAGTTCTTGTTAATATCCTAATTAATACTTTACCTGTGTGAATAATGCAGGTGAGGTTATACCATTTTTATTAAAATGAACCAGCACTTTCTGAATTTTGGAAGATGCCATTTTTGTGAACAGAAAGTGAAAGAAGGTCAAATATATTCATACGCACGAAGAACTATTTATACATTTCATTTGATTCAAGTTATTATTTGAATGTACAGTGAGCAAATAACCTTATGAAATTAAGCTATTGGAATTCTTTTCAAATATTTTATACAAATGTTTATGCAGGTAACACTTAACTGGAATATACACTTCACGAACTATATTCTACTGCTGCGGATACATATATCAGGTGCTCTTCGGAACAAATATGTCTAAGTTAGAAATTGAGATTTCATCCCTCTTATTGAAGGAACACTTTGGTGATATTGTTCAAAAAGTAGGCACAGTGTTACTTCGTAAACGACAGCTTCCCTTAGGAGTGATAGGTAAAGAATGTGGGCTCAAAATTGACCAGGTGAGTGCCAAATGTGCAACACATTTTCTAAATCACATATTATCGCCCACCTCGATTTTATTTTTTATTTTATTTTGATTACAGGGAGCTACAGCGTTTATGTGATATGTATATACGTATATGTATATACGTATCTTAGTGCTTAAAGGGATTTCACAGACTGCATGAAAATTCAACTGTCACCTTCAGTCAAACCTACCTCGAAACAAAAATATCCCAACTGACTATTGTTGTTGTTGGTATCCTTGCTTTTATATCACCTATTAGTCTCTCTGTACTGGTTTATCACTAAGTTGATATAGCTTTTTGTGCTGACCAGCATCAAAAAGTCTTGTAGGAATATTGAACTTTGCTATTTAATGATTTACAGTCAAAGTAAGAAATTAAAATACAAGCATACATACATACAGTACAGTATCTTGGTAATTCAATACTTCAATTCCTGCAGTTGAATTCCTTGTAGAAATCACTCACAAATGACCAAAATATGCAAGATCGATTTGTTAATGTTTCCTTTTTCATCATATGTTATTAATGTATTGTATTGCTTATTGTATTGTATATTATATTGTTTGTTGTATTGTATTCTATAGTTAAAGACACAGAAAAATATTTCTCTTGCAGAATTCAGCATTTAAACAAAGCAGAAAACTAGTGGGAGTGATATATATTTAAGGCACACATTCATGATTAAAGTTCAAAATCTGAGGAACGAATTATTAAATCAATTAAGCATGAAATATGCCTATGTGTTTATTTACAGGTGAAAAAAGGTCTGTGTTCACTCATACAGCATAACATGGTGACATTTGAGTTACATAAACGAGGCTTTGTAGAATACGAAATACGTACAGGTGTACCATTGCTATTGCTAAGGTACCCTAGATACATCTATGCAAGCAAGACACTGTATGGTGATGCAGCTGAACTGATCATAGAGGAGATACTACATCATGGACAAATTAATATGTCATCAGTTGTTGATAAAGTCACAAATAGACTGAATGAAGCAATGAAAGGTAGGTAATTGAATAAATAGTATTAAGAATTCCTAAACCATCCTAAATAATATATTGAATTTAATGCATTCTTGGATTTAAAAGCAGGTCAAAAACTGATACTTGTTTAGTCAAATATCTCATCTACTGCTTGATTATTTAGGTTTGGTTGGGCCATGGGAAAGTAACATTTAAGTAAACACATGGAAGTATTGCTATATTATATTATCTGCTAAATGGGAATTCACCTAGTCTACCCTATTTTTAAGAAACTTTGTCAATACTGAAATGATAGTTTGGAAACTTTAATATAATGAGGTCAGATATATGTTTCTTACGTTGTGAATTGTTTCATGGAGAAAAAAGCAAGAAAACAAAAGTTATTACAAAATTAGCATTACTTGTTGACTTCAAGTTTAATGATTTATAGTCAAAGTAAGATATTACAAGCAGGCACCTGGTTTAAAGTTGGCAATATTATTACCTGCCGATATATCAGTTCCCCTAGATATAAGGTATAAGTGATTGATACCTTGTTTTACAGTGCAAAAGGAGGCAGCAATATCAAAGGATGATGTAGTGAGTAAATTTAAAGCTTTGGCAGAAACCCAGTTCATAAAACGTTGTCCAGAGATGAGTGACTCTAATGAAAATGATAGTGCTATACCTAAAATGGAAATAGACACTGAGAGAATGTACAAAGTGCCAAGACTCAATGATGCTCAAATTAAATCTGAGAGAGAGAATTCCAGTTCACAGTCAAATGAGAGAAAACGCAAAATACCGAAAGATCGAAGTAAGTCTCCAGAACCACCTGATGCAGGAATATATTGGCATTTAAACTTCCAGAGATTTCACACCCTCTTCAGGGACCAAGAACTTATCAGTGCAGTCGCCAATAAACTAGATAAGGTACAATTTTATTTCCTTAAAGTGTGTTAATAATGACTGAAATAACTTGTGAAAAATGTTGATCTCATTATGCCACAAATACAAGTATATAGCCATATTTATTGGCACGGATTGAACTTGCCCAAAGACACAATTACATAATGTATAAAGAATGACATTAAATTGTATATGATTTTTTGCAACTTAATTGCAACACATTTTCCAATTTCTACCTCAACCAAAGTATTTCTTTCATAGAGCTCTAATAACCTGTGTAAAAATATGTTATTGTTAAACCCTCCCCACATGTACAAGAAATCACCATTTTCTTTTACTTAGACACGTTTTTCATCCCCTACTTATGTATGCTTGTTAATAGTAACATTTAATAATTCTATTGTCTTCAAGGAAGCATCTGAAGTATTGCGCTCAATGTTAAGAATTGATGTGAGTGACCCTGCCTCTCCAGTATCTCAACCACTCTCTAGTCATGAGGTAAATATCTTGAGAGATAATTGGTATCATTTATTAATATTACTAGCATTGAGGCATTTTATACATTCATTTCTGAACTATAAAAATCATAGAAAGTCAAAGAAAAAAAGAAAGTGTGAATGATTATGAAGTCAATACAATTTTGTATATTACATGTAGATACATTTACTGAAATAAAGTTTCTAATCTAAAGAAGCTTTTGGTAGAACTTTTTGTTACCCTTATATTTTGCCATTCACTTCAACATTTGCCACATATGATATAAACATACATAATGATGCACAAGTATATGTATTTCTTGTAGATTTATCACCAGTTCCCTAAGAATATAAAGCTTACAAAGCAAGCAATGGACCAGTATCTCACTCTGCTAACTGAGGATTCCGTGAGTAGTTTCCTTCTCAGTAGGGCCTAATCTCAATACTGTTGTACTTCAAACATGTCAAAATATCAGTAATGACTGATTTTTAACAAATAAATTGTTTTGGCTTGAAAAGTAATAAAATCTTGAATCTAGTTGACATTATGCTTTTGATATTTGAACTAAATCCGACTTATATGACATGGGAACTGTGGAGCATGATGATTTTTTCATTTATCATGCATGCCACAGTTCAAAGGTATCTTCCACTGCTTAAGGGAAGGTAACTGAAAATGTAAGATACGGTAACGATCATGTTCGTTTTCAATACGGTGTAACTGGACATCTTAGCTCTCCATTATAATCTCTCATAATGTTACCGCATCAATGCATATCAGTTATCTTATCATCTGTAAAACCAAATTCCCAGTTACCTTCCCTTATGCGGTGGAAGATATTGTTCAAATGTGGCGCCCACACATGATATATGAACAAAATGATCATACTCCAGAGTTTCCATGTCAATTAAGTCAGATTTAGTTCAAATATCAAAGCTATATGTCAACTATAAAGTAGTTCAATTCAATGAAAACTAGAAATATTGAAATCGACACTCCCTGTCTGCCATCTTTGATGGGAAAGTGACGGCCATTACCTTTGCTTGATACTGACCTTATTAATAAATGTAGGCACTTGCATGTTTAAATAGATTGATGCAATAGTGTTCTATTTGTGATAACATGTTATTTATTTTTGCAGACAGGGTTTGTGCGCAGAGTTGGTGACATGGGAGGTGGCACATATGTCATTGGTATCCTTTACATATAGAATATATGATTTTTGAAGAATATCATTTTTATCCATGAGTTAATCTCTTTAGATGATCAAGTACAAGGATGTGTACTTTTATCTTAAGTTATGATTAATATTTGAATGAAAATATAAGAAAAAAAGAATTTTGGTTAATTTCGGAACGATTTTTGTGGCTGATAATGAAAATTTGGGATAACATTTTTTTGATGTACAATATTGAAACTGTTAGGTTCAAATAATCAAAAAATCTCAAAATAAGGGAAAGTAAATAAACCAAATCATTAATATTTCCTTAATGAAAGCTCAGATTATAAAGATGCATTGAAAAATCTGGCAGTGGCACACATTGAGTGTGTTGTTAGGGAGAGGTTCGGTTCTAAAAGTTTACGAATATTTAGACTATTGCTCATGAAAAAACAGCTTGAGCAAAAACAGGTAAAGATTATGAAATTACGCATTACATTACATTTCAGACATTGTTTCTCAACTACCTGCACATAAAGTAATGATAACAGGGGTTTCATTAGCAGCAGACAACAGGCGGGTTTTCACCAGTTGTTTTCACAAAATTGCCTCCTGTTTTTAGGGACTTTTCAACATTTCCATGTTAATTTTATGATTTCCATTAACTTTGCCTGTTGTTTTCATTTATTTAGCCTGTTTTGAGAAATTCTCGTGAAACCCCTGTAATAATGTCAACATGTACCATTGCAGATGAAATATTTCAAAATGATCCAGGATACTAGAATTAATGAAATGGTAAAGTTCTTGAAGTATTCCTAGAAATTCTACAGTTTCTAGAATGTAAAAAGTAGACAATGGTCATTGCTCTCAGTAGAAGTCAGACCATGTAAGATACTCACAATTTTTATTTTGAGACCCAAGAATTTAAATATCTGTATTTTTTTGAATTATGCTATCACAGGCTGGTATCGAAATATTTGTCCGCTGTGACGGAGCATGCTATTTTTCATAAAAACACTAAGAACGCTTCACGATTTATTTTTTAACTCATATGTTTCGTTATACCATACAAAATTACTCACTCCATGCAATGGATATATCATTTGCGGGTAACTGTCACTTCTGTTTGAAGTCCAATTACGCTGGGAAGAAAAGCTATTGAAAATGGCGCCGGAGTATCATACTTCAAAATGTACCATTTCTTGTTTAACTTTCTAATGGCACGATATAGTGACACGATAATATTTACACATGGTTTCAGCATAACTATGAAGGTATAAATGAGATGTTGATGTATTTGGTCTTTTTAATTCTTTTATAAAAAATAATGTTTAATTTTTTTGTCCGCTGTGACGGAGCAGTTGCAAATGTGAACTGTGAAAATGCTCCGTCACAGCGGACAAAAAATATTAATATTATTTTTTATAAAAAAATTAAAAAGACCAAATGCATTATTAATACATTCAGAGTTATGCTGAAAACATATGTTAATATTATCGTGTCACTATATCATGCCATTAAAAAGTTAAAAAAGAAATGGTACATTTTAGAGTTTGATACTCTGGCGCCGTTTTCAATAGATTTTACTCCTAGCGTTAATGGACTTCAAACAGAAGTGAAGGTTACACGCAAATGATATATCCATTGCATGGAGTAAGTAATTATCTTTGATATAACGAAACATATGAGTTAAAAAATAAATCGTGAAGCATTCTTAGTGTTTTTATGAAAAATAGCATGCTCCGTCACAGCGGACAAATCTTTCGATACCAGCCTGTGGCTATGAAAATAGAAAATAGGCCTAGATAAAAAATAACACTAACACTAACATGAGTCAAATATAGTAAGCCATCTACATTTCCACAACAATTCCAGATTGAAGAATTTGCGCTGATCCCAGCAAAGGAAGCCAAGGAAATGTTATACAAGATGTTCGAAGAAGACTTCGTAACTGTCACAGTAAGTTTAAAGTGAACATTTAATTCACTATTTTTCGATAAATGTAAAATAAATTATTTTTTTCAGACAATAATACAACTTTTCTTTTGAGAATATGTAAATCGATGCAGTTCCATCATTACTATTCATTGTTTTAGAATTACCAATATACATATTATGCATTGGCTAAGTATTTTTAATCTAGTTTTTTTGAGAAATATGTTTACTACAGGTAGATATATTCACTGATTTAAGACACATTTTCCTTGTCAATTGCAGGAAGTATCAAAGACAGCGGACCACGCACCTTCTAGAACTTTCTACCTCTTCTCAGTTAACATCACACAGGTCAGCCGTAAACTTCTGGATCAGTCATTTCAGGTAATTGTTCTACTAATAGAGAGTTTAAGCTTGCATAAAAAATCAAAATGCCAACCTATACGTATGACCAATCACCTATACAAATGCATTAATTAAATATTTAGATTGTGAAAAGCGTTGCAAGATTAAACTCCCTAATATCTCTCCAATCTTTAAGTTCTCAACTCTACCTGCATGGGTGTTTTACTCATGTACACTTATTGTGAAAAATATTGTCTTAGAAGTATATCTTATTTGGCTTAAATTTTGTTTAACCTTCATATCATCAGGTTTTGCCTTTTTGGACCCAAGCTACATGTAGTTGCCTCGATTTGAAAGCAATTCCAGTTACTGAACTTATTTTCTGTATTTTGCTTTAAATTGTTCATTTTACTTTTCATTCAGTGTTATTTTCTGTCATTTTGTCAATTCAACAATGTTTCCATTAAAGTTCAGATGATGAATTCATTGTAAAGAATATGAAATTGAGGGACATCATCATCTGTTGATAAATAGCAAAAAATGGAGTCACATTATCAGCATCACTGAATACTTCTTTTTGATTTTTCAGGCTTTATGCCGATTAATTCAACGCAGGGAATATGAAACTAAGGAGCATCGTCGTCTGTTGGATAAACAACAGAAAGTGGAGGCAATCTCAGCATCACTGACTGGAGCTGATGAAGAACAGAGGGCAGAAATTGAGGACACGATTACTCCACCTGAACGAGAACAGATTGACAAAGTAAAAAATATGACCAAAAAGTAAGTCCTGTCAATTGGTGCGTGAGCTAAGGGTCAGTCAACTGGTCATTGCTAGATAACATTTGAAATAGACCAGTTGATTGTTTCAGTGAGTATATGAAAATAACATGGCAACTGGTCCGTAATGCCATTTTGACCAGCTGCTCTCATAACCTCAGCTCAACCCCTAGTGTAACCCTTGATATATTACCATTGATTGATTCACTAGAATCTTTTGTTATTGATGTCAGATTGCCTTGGAAACACAGTTGCATTCAGCAGTCAATGGTAAACATGAAACATCCTGTAGCTGTAGTACAAATCTTTAATAGCTCTCATGGTAAATACAGCAGGTACATGTGTACTCAGTTTTTATGTCCCCACCACATAGTGTGGGGCCATATTGTCTGTCCATCCGTCCGTATATCAGGCAGTTTTCTCCAAAACCACTACAGATACCTACTTCCTGTCAGCCATTTTGAAGTCAAAAGCTAAAATCCTTGTCTGCAAACTTAAGAAAAATGGCTTGGCAGTTGCTTTTAAAACTTTAAAATCTTGTTCAGCTCACTTCATTCTACATCTGATTTGGTTTTGGACCTGTTGGCTCAGTCATGTCAGCCATTTTGAATGTCTTAAGAAAAGTTTTGAGCGTGATAATACTTTGTATCATATTGAATGGTGTTTTTGAGTTACTTTAATTATTTAGTAGCTTTATAAATAATTTCAAGTGTACTTTGTTGTAAAAGCTTATGTTATTGTTAACATTAGTAATATGTTATAATTTTGTAAAAAGAAATCAGCAAAAACTCATAATCACTTTTTTATTGTTTTATTATTTTTATTGGATTTTTTCGTCCTAAAATCTTGTCTTTAAAGTCTTGTCTATGCATTTTCAGGTTAGCGGAATCAATTGGTGAATGATCTTGCGTTTTCATACTAAAGTTTGTTTTTGAGTTTTTTCTTATAGTTTTATGTATTTAAAGATATTTAAGAGACAGGGCCCTTTTTCTAAAGCCCTTTTTAGAAAAATAATTGAGATTACACAGGATACCTGTTATTTATGCTTTTTAACACAATTTTAATAGAAAATTCAAATTCCAAACTCCTTATATCACTATAATTCACCAATGGAGAATGGGAATTGAGCAACCAAACTTGGCACAAAGTTAGATCCAAGGATAAACTCTAATCTTAGGGCTTTGATTTTTTTGTTATATCACATATTTGCCTAGCAACCACATAGCAACCGCCTAAAATAACATATTTTGCAATATAAATCCACTTAATATATGCTAGGATGCTATAAGACCATTACAAAAAATGTTTTTCTATCCTAAAATACATCAATTTTAACATATTTACAGAAGTGACATCACCATATTACATAGCAACAACATGGCAACAGGTTACAATGCCCATTTTGACATTTGCAGACAATATATCTATTATATGTTCACTGCTTTTGGATCTCTTCCACATTATTTCTTAACATATAGCAAATGTATCGATGCAGTTATGTCTGACCATTTTCCCTAGCAACGGCTTGAAATAAAGGCTAAATTTGCCTAGCAACGACCTAGCAACATCTTAAAATAGCAATGAATTTCACTATATATCCACTATTATGTACTTGAAGAAAATCAATATGTATGTCTTTTGTAATTCATAAAGCTTTATAGTTGCTCACTTAAAAATCTTTAGTCTCTTGTGTAAAGCATGATGGGACATTTCTTGTCTTACAATGTACGTATATCAAATTGCAATTCATGTTTCAGTTCTGAGATAAAGTAAACACGAAATATTCATCACATTGATACTTGATACATTTTCAGCATTGATACCCCTAAGATAATACTTTATTTTGGTGAATTGCTTCAATTTCCTTTGCAGGTGCATAGTTCGATGCAGTAGAATGCACCATGGCATTTGCAGTTCCCTTTTCAGTCACATTTGGTGCATCCACATTTAATTATGCTTTGGATGCTTGGGCAATATTGTCCATCTGGGCACCCACAATCCCGATGGGCTCCATAACCATCCCCATAGGCTTGGTGAAGGAAGAACTGGATCCACTATATACCACTGCCCCCATACATGTGCTTCTTGTCAAAAGGGCACCTGTAAGATCATTACATAAGTTCCATTGCTTGAAAACTGTCACCTTGCTATGATGGTAAAATCCAGATGTGTTATAAGTTCCAGTAAGGGCGTTGAACATTGGCAGCGCACGTGACCTTTGTGATCGTAGTGCTCAAGCAAATTCATAAATTGGAATGTAGGGTTAGTTTTGCCTTTTGAAAATGCTCTCAATCTGTAGCTCAGAGGCACAGGCTATTAGGCTTTCACAACATTACTGTCCACCTATCTTATCATAAATGTCCTGCAACCTTTTCCGACACCATGAGACACATCCAAAAACATATGTGTATTTGCCTCTTCCTGGGAGCAGGGACTATTATGGCATAATTAGCAGGATTACTGATGCACTCTCCTGCAATGGTGGAGACAAAGATTCTATCGTCTGCCATAATATGTCTTGTAACAGTTGCTAGTAGTGCAAAGAACTCTATCTTGTTGTCATTGTTTCTGAGAAATCCTATCCTGACACCAAACTACCAAGCAATTGGCAAGACTTTCTTGAAAGATAGAGCTCTTTGCACAATTCCTACATCCTTCAGCATCTCAAGTGGTAAAACTTGAAACTAAAATTAATGACTTGTATGTTTCATCAAAGCCCAGATAGGATTTTAAGCTTTTAACAAGTATAACCTTGACCTAACGATTTAAGCAGTAAAATATGGTGTCTTGATTTAAAATCTATATACTATATCTAGTATTTTGAACAAGCCCTGTTGGGATACATACACAACAACATATGCTGGGTTCAGTGGAATATTACTATCCAAATGTGGAAAATTAACAATGTCATGAGGCAGATACATATATGTTTTTGCATGTGTCTCATGGTGTCGGAAAAGGTTGCAGGACATTTATGATAAGATCAGTGGACAGTAATGTTCTTGTGATAGCCTTAGTCTGTGCCTCTGAGCTACAGATTGAGGTCTATGTAGCATTTTCAAAATGCAAAATGTATCGCTACATTCCAGTTCATGAGATTGCTAGAGCACTATGACCACAAAGATCATATGGGCTGCCAATGTTCCAAGCCCATACTGGAACTGATACCACATCTGGACTTTACCATCAGAGCAAGGTGACAGTTTTCAAGCAACGGAACTTATCTAATGATCTAACAGGTGTCCTTTTGACTCTAGCAGATCGCCCATCAACCTAAACAACAGAAGTTATGGGCACAATTGAAATCTCAATACCATGCGCAGGCACATGTTCACTCATGACAGATGGATCCAGATAGAGTACCTCCAACATGAGATGCAGCACTCTATCATGTCATGCGAGCAACTCTCCAAGGAACACATAATGGTATATAGTGGATCCACTTCTTCCTTCACCAAACCTATGGGGATGGTTTAGGGGCGCATCAGGATTGTGCGTACTCAGATGGACAATACTATCGCTAGCATCTGAGGCATGTAAAGTCATAATTAAATGTGGATGCACCAAATGTGACTGCAAAGGGAACTGCAAATGCCATGGTGCATTCCACTGCACCGAAACTATGCAACTGCAAAGGAAATTGTAGCAATTAACCCAAATGAAGTATTATCTTAGGGGTGTCAATGCTGAAAATATAACAAGGATAAATACGATGAATATTTTGTGTTAACTTTATCTCGGAACTGAAACATAAATTGCAGGACTTTTGCATTATAAATTTTATACTTTTGCTTTATAAATTAAAAGACATACATATTAATTTTCTTCAAGTACATAATAGTGGATATATAGTGAGATTTTTCTGAGAAACATTGCTATTTTAAGCTGTCAGTAGGTCATTGCTAGGCAAATCTAACCATTATTTCAAGCCCTTGCTTGGAAGTTGCCAGGGAAAATAGTCAGGCATAACTACATCATTTATGCTTAAATACAATTTCTGTATGTTAAGAAATAATGTGGAAGGGATCCAAAGGCATACAAGTGAGTATATAATAGGAATATGGTGTGCAAATGTCAAAACAAAATGGGCATTGTAACCTGTTGCCATGTTGTTGCTATGCAACATGGTGATGTCACTTCTGTAAATATGTTTGAATTGTTGTATTTTAGGATAAGAAGACTTTTTGTAATGGTCATATAGCATCCTAACATATATTAAGTGGATTTATATTGTAAAATATGTTATTTTAGATGGTTGCTATGTGGTTGCTAGGCAAATATATGATTTCACAAAATATCAAACCCCTCAGATTAGAGCTTATCTCAGGGTCCAACTTTGTGTCAAGTTTGGTTGCTCAACTTCCATTCTTCATTGGTGAATTATAGTGAGATAAGAAGTTTGAAATTTGATTTTTCTGTTAACATTGTGTTAAAAAACAGTAATAATAGGTATCCTCTGCATTCTCGATTATTTTTCTAAAAAGGGCTTTAGAAAAAGGGCCCTGTCTCTAAAATGTCTTGAAATACATAGAACAATAAGAAAAAACTCCCAAACAAACTTTAGTATGAAAACGCAAGGTCCCTATGGGGGCCTTGCACCAATTGATTCCACTAGGTGAACTGTTTGGTAGATCAATTTCAAATTTTCAGGAATGATTCTTTGTATGAAAATCTAAATCTGATTAGTTTTTTGGCATTCTGGGTAAATGTCAAGGCAGCCATTTTGGATTTTCCATTCTAAAATCTTGTCTGTAAAGCCTTGTGTACGCATTTCCAGGTGAACTGTACGGTAGATCAATTTCAAATTTTCAGGGGTGATTTTTAGTATGAAAATCTAGATCTGATTAGTTTTTTGGCATTCTGGGTAAACTTTAAGGTGGCCATTTTGGATTTTTTGTCCTCAAATTGTGTCGATAAAGTCTTGTCTACTCATTTTCAGGATAACCATTTGATAGGATCACCCATTGGTGGGGACATTTTGTACACATTTGTGTTCTTGTTAATTATGTGTTAGAGGCTCCTTCGCAAAACTCATTTAAGAGGAGACTGTATATATGATTTTTGACAACTTGGTAAGAATACAAACATCTTGTTTTCTTTCAGATTGGAGATGAGTGAATTACAAGTTGATGAGACAATATTTATTCTACAGATGTATCTTTTGTATGCCAAAACCACTTGACCCCAGACACGATAAACACTAGTATTTGGATTATTTTTGAGTCACATTTATTTGGAGTTGGACAATAAAAGGAGGAAAACTATCAAAAAAGCTGCAATTTTTTATTAATAGACAACAGTGTTTCAATGTTATTGCAATATATTTGCAACTTTACAGTAATTTAACAATTTGGTAAGTTTATATGTCACCAGCAGAAAGGGTGACATATTGTTATTGTAACTTTTTTGTGGACAGTGTTCAGTGGTCATCATTTGACCTTCGGCGGTTGTCATCTGTAGTAAATGGCAGGTGGTGACATTTTGCATGTTAATGCATTGTAACTACTTAAATTGAGCCTAGGGAGTTACAGTTCAAGAATCTGACATTTGATCCTTTGAAATAGAACACTAATATGTCCTCTGTTGTATAATGAAGAACTACTGCACAAGTACACCATTGTTGAATAGCTTAATGGTTTATTCATATGCAATGCATAAATACATAATATCTACTTTGTACATGAGTAAGAAGAAGAATATAATATATATAATATTATAAGAAGAACTTTTGGAATGAAAAACTTTGTTTTAATCAAGAATACAATAGCAATTAGACCATGTACCTATGATTTCTGTTACCTTTTTAAATTAATTATGTCATTATTTTTAACTGACTTGAGCAAGATAATGATATACATTTTAAAATGCCACTGTCACCATTAGGGCATTCAATGGAAAACACACATATATGGATTTTTTTACCTATATTCTAGATGGCCTTGCCTTACCTCAATAATGTGTACCTCTCTACTCTTTGACCTTCAAAGTACATATAACATAAGAGAGTTCTATAATATCAAAGAGACTTGAAGGGATGGAGGATAAGTTTTGTCTAAATTTTACATTAGTTTTTGCTCTCATTCCATTTAATGTCTGTTTTTTTTTGTATTTTCTAACAAGCAAAGAATTATGATTCTTTTAGGAAAGTCATATTATTTTTGAGGTCATGTGGATAAACTAGTAATGTAAAAATGTCGGGCATGATTTTTGAAGATTTTTACACTTTATCCCTTCTATTTTTAGAGAAATAAAACTGGTCCATAAGATTTTTCCCACTAGAATATGCAGTAATAACAATATCACTTATTTCACATGACACAGCTTAAATGATCATTATGCCACAAATGATGCCATATCAACAGGCTAATATATTGCAGTGGTCAATTGGACATAGCACCCACCTGAGATCTTAAAAATAGGCTTGCACCCACCTGATAATTCATTTGCACCTACTTGAAAATGAGAAAAATCATGAAAAATTGGCATATTTTGACCAATCTTGATCTGGATTGTGAAAATGAAAATTTTGCACCCACTTGAGAAAAAAATCCTGGGGAGATCACTGTATTGGATTGACATTTTGCTTAGGAGTACTCAGCAATGAGTTTTAAAGAAATAAAAGCAACTTAATGGCCATTGCACATATTACTGTTCTGTTTGTGGCATTTTAGTTAAGCATGTTAGTCCATTTTCAACTATGACTTTTGAGTGCTAGTCTTTTCCTGTCCAGGAGCATTCTTTATTTTCTTTCCAGTTGCAAGAACCGTCTTCGTAGATTTCCTGGAAAAATATCATCTAAAGGTTAGTTATGCTCACACTTTTCCAGTACAGAAACCATAAGGATGTCTCTATTTTACAAATTATTTCTTAAGATAGAAATGACACATTTTTGTATTTTGCTCTTGATCATTTGGGTAGTCTGTAGTACGATTATAGCTTCCAAATACCCCTCAGTCTCAAGGCTAATTTCAGTAAAAATGCTACGTTACAGTTGGTGTTATAAATACTTAATGAAAAATATGAACAATTGCAAATAAAAATAAATAAAGTTTGGCATAATTCTATATTAAATCATTTCACAAATATTTAGTGATACTGTAAGATTTCAACAATTTAAACCGAAATACCTTTTTCCATATTGGAACAGTTGCTTTCAAAGTATCAATCACAAACTTTGTTGCATCAATGGCAGCATTTCTATGTGGGGCAGATATCACAATTAGCACACTAGTCTCACATACTGGTACCTCACTGAAATAGGATTAACACAATTTAACACATTAGTATCACATACTTTTACCTCACTAAAATAGAAGGATTATCACAATTTAACACATTAGTATCAATGAAATAGAAGGATTATCACAATTTAACACATTATTATCAATGAAATAGAAGGATTATCACAATTTAACACACAATTATCACATACTGGTACCTCACTAAAATAGAAGGATTATCACAATTTAACACATAAGTATCAATGAAATAGAAGGATTATCACAATTTAAAACATTAGTATCACATACTGGTGACTCACTAAAATAGAAAGATTATCACAATTTAACACATTAGTATCAATGAAATAGAAGATTATCACAATTTAACACATTATTATCAATGAAATAGAAGGATTATCACAATTTAACACATTATTATCACATACTGGTACCTCACTAAAATAGAAGGATTATCACAATTTAAAACATTAGTATCACATACTGGTACCTCACTAAAATAGAAAGATTATCACAATTTAACACATTAGTATCAATGAAATAGAAGGATTATCACAATTTAACACATTATTATCAATGAAATAGAAGGATTATCACAATTTAACACATTATTATCACATACTGGTACCTCACTAAAATAGAAGGATTATCACAATTCAACACATTATTATCAATGAAATAGAAGGATTATCACAATTTAACACATTAGTATCACATACTGGTACCTCACTGAAATAGAAGGATAATCACAATTTAAAACATGAGTATCACAAACTGGTACCTTACTGAAATAGAAGGATTATCACAATTTAAAACATTAGTATCACATACTGGTACCTCACTGGAATAGAAGGATTATCACAATTCAAGACATTGGTATCACATACTTGTACTTTACTGAAATAGAAGGATTATCACAATTTAAAACATTAGTATCACATACTGGTACCTTACTGAAATAGAAGGATTATCACAATTTAAAACATTAGTATCAAATACTGGTACCTCACTAAAATAGAAGGATAATCACAATTTAAAACATAAGTATCACATACTGGTACCTCACTGAAATAGAAGGATTATCTCAATTTAAAACAAGTATTTCATACTGGTGCATCACTGAAATAGAAGGATTATCACAATTTAACACATTAGTATCACATACTGTTACCTATCTGTAATAGAAAGAAGATCAAAATTATTACACTGTAATAGGGAGACAGTATCACTTTTGACACCCTTGTTTCACATAAATAGTAAAGAACAGTAGAGTTTAGTCCATTAAATACACATATCATTAGCCTACATGTATCTTCAGTCACTTGCCACACAACTCTGACTATAACAGATAGTTTACACCTATATGTATGTTTATGATTAAGATCTTAAAAAATATTACAAAAAATGAAGTGTCATCATTTATGATTAGACATAGACTTGATAAAAAAAATTATTAAAGAGTGAAGATGGTCTAACAAAGTGTAGGCTCTTTTTATATACAAGTACAGGTAACATTTTAAACTAATATATACAGGAAAATGTTAATATCAGTGAAATAGTAGTAGTGTATACCACAAAAGAATTAACAGTGCGATACGAAATCAATGTTCAATCCAAGCTTCCTCTATATAACAAAAAATAATAAATTACGCAGGGTTTGTATTTCTCTAAGGATGAATGAATTAAAAAAATTACAGCAATGCAATAAGTCAATAACCATAATTCAATGTTATGTTTATTGTAAGGGCTTGATATATGGAGAGAATGACCTTGAACTTCATCATCATATTGGATTGGTTTTCTGCGTAATCAATGTAAACTTCTCTACGCTGATTCAAATCAATGTTTGCAAGGAAATGTAAAGCTACACTATGCTGCTATGCAGATATTAATACTAATTAAATGGAGCATAGTTTGGGTAGCTGTTCATTATAAAATGTATGTGTGTGAAGATGTACTTCAAGGTCGATGATGCTGCATCAGGTACTAGTGTTCTTCTATGTCAGTTTCACTCTTGATGCATGTAGTATACTGTGTAGATATATGAATACTTAGTGATCTACCCAGGATTTTTTCTCGGGTAGGTGCAAAATTCTAATTTCCTCAATTCAAACCAAAATTGCCAATTGTATGCAAATTTTCCGTGATTTTTCTCATTTTCAAGTGGGTGCAAATGAATTTTCAGGTGGGTGCAAGCCTATTTTCAAAATCTCAGGTGGGGCTGCGCCCACTTGCTTGAATGTTGGGGAGATCACTGATACTGATGATCCTGGATGGCTCTCTATGCCATAAACATTAATAGTTGTGATTTACAAGGGTGGGTAAAGCAAGCAAGATCAACTTACATGTATTAGTTCAAGATGTGCAATGCTGATAATAAATACTATCAATCTGTTAAAAACATATAAAAAGAAAAGCTTACTCTTGAGTTTTAACACCAATAGTATTAATGAGGGCACATAAGCAGTTCCAATTAGCAATTAACTTCTACATGCACATTGAATATGGTCTCAGGAAAACATAAATGATATCAATTGATGATTTTATTTGATGTAGAGAATTTCAAACCTGTATGTGTCTTATTGGAATCTTTCAATATCCTACCCTTTTAAATTTCAATTTGGAAATTGCACTGTGCGCCTAGGCTCTTGTATTATATGCCTATGAGTGTTAGGATATATTTATAGATTATCTATCAGACTCTATCACTGTGTAACATAGTGGTCATAGTCTAGAATTAGACTTCAGGGCAGGGAACTATAATGTCATCTTTGTTATCTTTGTAGAAAGTTCAGAAAAATGTGTAATAGAAAGAAAAATACATGTATGTGACATCGATTCTCAATGATGTGATTCACCATATCAACTTGAACAAAAAAAGAAAAATACTTCAAATAACAAATATTGCCATGAATCTAAACTTTACCTGGACAGTCTTTTCATCAAAAAAAATAATTATATAAATATTTCAAGTGCCATTAAAAACAAATCAATGTGGAAAACAGATTTCCAAATTATTGGAGGGGAGTGTACATTTGACAAACATACCTAGCATGCCAAAAATAAATCAAAGCTAGACTTTCATACCAATAGGGATCCCTGAAGTGACACAATGAAATTACCATGTAGTATCCAACGCTCCAATGAAATTTCAAATTTTTTATATTCCAGATGCTAATTGCATTCATTATGGTGTTGTTCTGGGAGAGAGTAATGGCAGAAATGGGTGACAAGAATCTCAACAGTACTGCAATGGCACCAACTAGTACTGAATTAAGTATTATAAAACTAGGTCCAGAGCCATGTACCCGTACCATTGAGGAGGAACCATACCGCTGTCCAGCAATAGGATATGGGCCCAGTTATTGTTCAAAGGACTGTAGTAAGTGCAAGATCCCCAAGATATAATTCTGTATAACTGATTAGATTTTTATAACAGAACATTGAAGAATTGGTTCATTTCACTTTCAAATCAAACTGAATCCAATAATATTAAGTTATGTTGCGCTGTTGTAGCTATTGTGAATACTTATATTCTAGGATTAGCATGCAAGGATCCTCTCATTGCACATGTGCCTAATGATAATATAACAGTGTCATCTTCCTACAATAACAAAGCTATGCCAAAATACTCCAGACTATATACTGGGAGAACTGATCTCCATTTTGGTTGTTGGATGCGTGGGGATACTCGGTACAATTGGATACAGGTAGACTGTTATGGACCTCACTATGTGCAACCAAAGAAAATTTCAAATTAGCAAATAAAGTTTTACAGGATCTTTTATAATTATTTTAAAGGATTGGGTGAAATCAATTAAGCAGCCTCGCTGAAGTACAAACTGTCGGTCCCATTTAGGATTTTTATGGCATCGAGCATAACTTCTTTGACTTATATAATATATTAGTTTCAACCATTTGAAAACATGTTTATTAGGAGTATGTGGTCCATGATTCGTAAAAAGACTGTGGTGTGTACTTGTATGCCTATATATGAGTGCACATAAGAGAACACACTGGCTCCTTGAAGTTTTAAGTATTGCCAATTATCATCATGCCCAGGGAAGTTTTGCACCTTTTAAAGTGGATACTAGCTAAGACATTAATGGTTCAGATATAGTATGCTCCCGATGACCATTTGGGAAATATTGTATTTATGGATTATGGCCTTGGCTGGTGGTTGGATGTTGACCCTTTGATACACTTATCAACTTCTAGACTGGATTTTGTCCATCCTAGGTGAATTTTGGCTCTGTGAAGCGTATCCTGAGTGTCGCAACCCAGGGGTGTAAAGATGAGAGAGAATGGGTGACAAGATACAGGATCAAACACAGAAGACCAGAAGATAGAATATTTAGTACATTTTCCATATCAAAAACAGTAAATGTAAGTTTTTCTATTGCTGCAACATAATAAATACCACAGGGAATAAATTTCATCAGTATCAATACATGTATACTTCACTGTGCCTAATAAATATCACACAAATATATGTTTCTTTCTATTGAACATCACACCAATTCTTTCTATTGAACATCACACCAATGAATTCACCACACTAAAGTTTATCTCACAAGCTCAGAAGTATACCACATCTATGACAATCACACAAATGGACAATCCTACCATTTGACATCACAACAATTAACTTCTTTACCAATGACTTAATCACATCCATGAACAATGCCACTACAATATGAATCTTTACACATGATTAGTGTTGTCGCGCTTAATCGATACATCGCAATATACATCGCTAAAGCTGATTCTGGCGATGCATCGATGTCTGAAACAAAACATCGATGTTTTTAAAAATTTTGATGCAAATCGCTTACCTTTCTCATGTCTTATTTCATTTTCCAATGTTTTCTGATATTCTTTCGCTTTAAATCTGTTTTAGCTAGTCGAAAAGAACCATTTATCTAAAAATTACTTTACTTTCATTTCACCGTTTCTAGAAGTTCCTGGATGTACCAGCGTATGAAGACTTATTAATTTGTTCTGTTCGGTATTTTAGTGCATTAGCATGCGGTATTTCAGTGAACTTTTCTCAGACTTTTTCTCGATGTACATCGCAATGTGCATCGATGTTTACTCCTGCATCGATGTACGATTATGGCACATCTCAACAAAACTACAAATGATTGCTGCAATAGAACAATCCATCATTGGATTTCATGACATGAACATTTCTTATGGTATTAAAAATAATGATCAATACTTCATTTATATTTAGGTGTTCGAGGGAAACTATGATAGGGATACCATTGTAGTAAATAAGCTAATAAATGAGTTGAACCCGCAAGGTCTTCTGGCTCAATATGTACGACTGTTACCATGGGCATATTATAGAGGTATTGGGCTCAGATGGGAACTTTACAGTTCAATATGTGATCCAGGTAAGTGCCATGGCTGATAATCCTACAGCAAAGCTGCTACAAGATGAAGTGTTTATGTTTGGATATGTAATGTGAAATAAATTCTATGAATATAAATTCTATGAATAAAGAAAAAAATATCATCTAAAATTTTGGCCATACTACTAGTGTGAGGAAAATAGCTACCTGTATGTTAATTCAGATGGGTACATTTTAAAAGGGATATTCAACAATTCATCTGTAAGTTAAAATGTAAGCAAAAAAAGAAGTGAACATTTTACTTTTGGAGATAAAACATTTTGGCATTTTTACATACATGTATCTTTTCAATTCAATCAATCTTTTTAATAACTAGCATCTGTAAAATTAGACTAAATTAATGAACTGTAAATTCGTATGTAGGCTGTTATTTCAGAACAAGTGAAATGTCATGACCCAGAGAAAAGTTTCCTCTGTCCAGATCAAACTTGTCAAAAGAATAGATGGCGCTGTGGTAAATGATGCTTCATATTTTCAAAACATTGTTAGCAAATTTAGGGAAATTATATTAAATAAAATTAGTGGCTGTCTCAAGACAATGTTATGAAGGGAAATCAACAATTATAATTAGTGGTGCAAGTCACGAAGAAAACTAGATTTGACTTACATGTGAAAAATTGAGCCAGGAGTCAACGAAAAAATGCTACTTTTGATAACTTTATTTCTGCCAAAAGTATAGCAGAAAATTGAGTGAATTCACTTCCAAAAAAGTCTATATATGCCTTTATTAACACAAAGATCCAGGTTTGATCATTTTTTGCTATATTCTTTCAATTAAAGCAGCTCTATATCAGCTGATATAAATATGTCTTCATTTTCTACATGTTCATGTCTTCTTGATAAAGGTGGGGCATACTGCTCAGTATCAAAATTCTGGTGTGCGGCTACAGAATCCTGCGTACCTGACTATATGATCTGTAATGGCAAATCTGATTGTCCCAATGGTAAAGATGAATCAAACTGTCCAGGTATGCCAGAAGATGACCATGATAAATGTAGAATATGTTTTGCTTAATGTGTACAATTAAAGGATTACTTCAAAAATGTTGTATTAGATGACTCATGCATCAAACTGTTTATTTCAATGGAGATGTTGCTACATAGCTTTGAAATCTCGCTATAAATTTTTCTTGAGATTAAACCTACAGTGACTTACTGTTCTTTTCCTTCTTTAAATGGCATATTTAAATTCAGTGAAGTTTTCTTCAAGAATAACTTTGATTTATACATTTATTTTATCCAAATTATTTTCCATAACTCAACTTTTCTAAAATGTATGATCGTCTCCTGCGGATCAAATCAGTCTGCATTGATGCGTTGATTTATATATTCAACAACTGCAGTTAAAATTTAAATCACAATCTGGATTAACAGAGTCATCCCATCTATTGCCATTTGAATTTTAGACAGATTCAACCATATTTTGATAAATCGTGAAATTAAATGAATACTGTCAATTTTTTCGAGGTCTCCTCTGCCGAAGGCAGCGCGAAGTAAGAGCGTAGCGACTACTTTGCGGGAGACCTCGAACCATTGATCACGTTTGCTCCTGTAATTATTCACTTCTTCACCTCTTTAAAATGTGATTTCAAACATTTGATCAAATTTTCGGACTTTGACATCAAATTCAAATATTAATATTTATAAAAAAAATACTGACTCATTATTATATTTTTAAAAGTCTTTCAAATAAAGTGAAATTAAGCCAAAATCAGCTAAAATTATGCAATGTCGTAAAATGGCGTGACTGGAATATGATGCAATCAACTGTGACGTCAGCCACATATTGCCACATCAACAACTAAACAAACAATTAATATAGACACTGATCGGTTTAATGATTCTTCGCATCATTTGTGACGTCATAAACATGTTACCCAACCAACAACTAAACAAATAACAAATAGGAATATAGGTTCGTTCAGTGCCACGCTCTTCATGCTCTTGAATCACAATCTCCAAGCCTTTCGCCCAGTGCAATCAGTACCTCCTGTGCCTCAGGTAGTGAAGGTACGCAACGAACGAAATGAATTTTGAGAATGCTTGAATCAATTATAAACAGGGATAATCAACAAATATATGAGAGGGTCAGGCATTTTTTTGACTTGGAGACCTCGACTCGAGGAGTTTGCTGCATTTTCTTGTTACCATTTTGATGATATGGAAGTCTGCCCCAACCAAAACAAATGAAACAAGTGCTGACATCTATTTATTCAGCTATATTCACCTTTATAACAACTCCCTTATTGTTTAAAATTAATACAATTTCTTCTCAATTAAAAAATCTAAAAATATAGGATTCAACTACTTGGTATTGCATCCTTTGTAGATTTTTATTCAATTACAAACCCTTTAAAGGTAAGTTGTCCCAAGCAACAACATGTATAATATATGTGGAGTTATACTGGTATGAGGGGACAGAATCAAAAAGCCTCCTTTGAAAGCCCATGCTAAAATACTGTAAAATTGACACTAAAATAGTGGCTATTTTTGAAACCGGCAGCTACTTTGAAAATCAGCTTTTGAGCAGAATTTGTACTCACATGGGGCATACCTATGAAATATTAAAGATATTGGTCCAAGGGTATTTGAGTTTGCCCAGACAAGCGGATAGACTAACATGCATTAGTATATACAGACGGAGCACTACTCTATATCCCTCCCACTTCATTCAATAAGATGCCCATGAAATAAGGTACTACTCTTCAAATAAAGTAACACATAGACTTTATATGATAAATATTTACAACAATTCTTTGTTCCCAGTGAAACCAACAGTATGGCATGGTGATGTAAGTAGTGAAAATGATGGACCTAAAATATGGCCTATAGGTTTGGGAGTGTTTGCAGTCGTCCTCGTGGTTGTTATTGCACTAATTCGTAGAAGCCACTTCAAACGACAAGGTACAAATAACTTTAAATATGGGAGCTGTAGTGGGGGTACTCACCCAAATTTTCAGGCTCAATTGAAAGCCCATGTTCAAACCAAACTAAGCATAGACAATAGACATTTTTGTAGAACATTGAAACATGTTTAGTGTTCACCTATTTACCCATTTAGTGAATTTGCATCAATGTTTGCTATAGAGATTTACTTTTACAGCTATGAGGAATTCTTCAAGAGAATACAGCACAATCTCAAATAGTGACAATAGGACACACAATTCTGCAGCAAATAATGCAATACCCCTACAAGCAAGTGCACCTCAAATACGAGATGACGGCAATCAGCAAACAAATAAACCTCAAAGACGCACAGGTGGAATAAATCCTGATTATACACCAGTAAATGATGATATTGCACCAGTAACTATTGATAATCCACCAGTTTATACTGACATTACATCACAACAACCGCCACCTCCTTCTTATGATGAAGTTATAGCATCACCAACTCAGTATCAAATTACCTGAAATATTGAAGGAATGAACATCACTTGACAAATGGATCAGGTGAAAGTCATGTGATTGTCAGACAAGACAAGATGGAATACCCCATATCTTCATGAAAAGAAACATTTGAATATAATGTGCATAATCCATAACAGTGTTCTCCCCAGGATTTTTTCTCAGGTGGGTGTAAATTTATCGTTTTCACAATTAAGTCCAAAATTGGTCAGAATATGCCCATTTTACAGGATTTTTCTCATTTTCGAGTGGGTGCAGATGAAATCTCAGGTGGGTGCAAGCCTGTTTTTAAAGTCTCACGTGGGTGCTGCACCCACTTGCTTAAATGCTGGGGAGATCACTGCATTATCATTGTGACAGTAAAACTTGAAGGTACATTGGGCACAGATAAACAATCAAATGTTGGTGCCACTGGTGGTTATTTATAATGCTTATGTTTTAATGCCCGGTTATAGCATCACAGATGCCCCGCCCCTCAGCCAAATCAACGCACCATTGAACTTAGCTAAAATGGACCACTGGAGAAGATTAGTGTTTGGCTAGCTTGAGAAACACTGATTCTATGTCTGTCTGTATGTGGTATATCTGTCTGTCTGTTACACTAAATCCTTGACACACATACCTACATGTACTTAGTATGAATATAACCAACTCTTACTCAATGCATCCAAATTTTATTGTTAATAAATTAATATACCATGTAGTTTTACATTTTGTAACTCATATATTTGTCATGGTATTCTTTGTGGAGTTATGTATACCTTTTGAGGAATTAGTGGTTATACCAAAATCAATAAAGAATAGCACAGCCTTATGTCTTAGTCACACCATGTGAGCTGAAAATAAGCAATTGTACAAAGGTTCCTAGAATACATGGGACGATCAAAAACTTCTCATAATTACTCACACATTTTTGGGGGTTTTCAATATTCTAGATGGAAATTTTCACAGAATGCGCTATATGCAATATCCTATATTAAAATCGAGCAAAAATATCTTAGTCAAACAGAAATATTCAATTGGAAATGGTCACAATTGCAACCTAAAATAAAGAACCTTGACAGAGTGACCCTCTGTAACCATTAAATATATAAGCAATCAAATAAGCAATCAAGCACATTAAAATGTTGAATTCTACAGTATGAACTGTGAACTCTCAACTATTACAATGGTTGAGATAAATTATGAGAATTTTATGATCTGCCCTTGTATCAATATCAACAATTTTATGACATTAACTCACTTACCCTAATCGATGTAATACTGCAATTTTTTCTACTGCATATTTTTCTCTAGCTTGTTCACAGATTTTCTTTAGTTCTTTCTTTGCCATTGATTCGTAAGCCTCATATTCAAGTTTAATAACTTTCTTGTCTTCAAAGAAGTCCCTCGTCGTTCCTATATCAGAAAGTGTTAATTTAACTGAAACATCTGCATTCTTGTTTTTTTTCAATTCAGAAATATTCCGTCTTTTTCTGAATGATTCAATGGTGGTAGGTTAATCAGTTTGTTTTTCAACTTCCTCTAGTCTACGATAAGTGTAATTCTAATATTGATAATCAGTAATAATAATAATCAAAATTTGAACCTTAAAAAGTGACTAGTGAGGCAATGACCTCCACAGGATTTTTTCTGAGGTGGGTGCAAATTTTTCATGTTCACAATTCAGACCAAAATTGGTCAAAATATGCCTATTTCTAATGATTTTTCTCATTTTCAAGTGGGTGCAAATGGATTCTCAGGTGGATGCAAGTCTATTATCAAAATCTCAGGTGGGTGCTGCCCCCACTTGCTTTAATGCTTGGGAGATCACTGTGAGGTGATTATGATACAGTGTACATACCCATGAATATAGAGGTAGCCCCAGTGTTAGGTTGGGTGACTCGTCTGACAATCTCCAGGTGTTTCTCTCCATCCAGAGACTCCTCTGTTATCTCAATGATATCCATGCTTGTTATGTCTTTTCATAAGTTTACAGTTTATGACACAAGTAAGATGCAGAATCAAGCACCAAGTACAAGTAGCTCCATACAAGTAATTATACACTTACATGTACATGTATAGTTATGATTAAAGGAAGATTAGTTGTATTATATATAGCCTTTATATATTTATATACTCAGTTGTGTTTCTGTCAGTTGTAATATAATTTTGCATTTATACAACTGAACTATTTTGATATTCTGTCACTCAATTTCAATACTAGTATTAGCCTCCACTTATAGGTGGCACCACTGCTAATTCATCGCCCTCTTTCAAATCCAAGAGTTGCTCATCCTTTTCAATATACTCCTCATTGAGGGCAAGTATCAATGTATCCGCCAATGGTTGCAAGCTGAAAATATATATTTGTACTCTTCTAATTGTAGAAGCTTAATGATTTAATATTAATACAAATATGTATTCATTTAACTGAATGACACTTTTTGATAACTTTAAAACCAATGTCCTGAATGAAAATCTTGATAAAAACTACAGAGATGTATGAAGATGGAGTCAAGGCAAGTAACACACCATTTACAACAAACTGAATTCATTGATCTGATTTCATCTCTGTGGAGCTAAATGTACACAATATACACTGTACATCAGCCTACTGTGCATTGTGGCATAAGCTTTCTCTTTAGATACACATACAGGTACCATGTGTACTGTGCTCTTGCCTGGTCCAGATAAATGAAATGAAAAGTTATCAATAAATACAGTATTTACCTTGTAAAAGTATCTAGAACCAATTTGTGAAGTTGGAGTCCAGTGATACTGTTAGGCAGAGTTATTTGAGAATCCCTCTGTCCACTCAGTTCACGACTTTTGGCGAAAAATAAAATCCGTGCCTAAAAAACAAAAATGGTGGGTGATAATTGAGTAAGCTTATTTCATCTTGCATATTACTCTCATTTTCGTGTATGGTTACAGGGATGTAATTGTTCAAAGTACAAAATAACCCTTAAAGATAATTATAGACATGTACAAACATAATGACATACGTCTACAAAGAAGGATACTCAGACTATATCAGAAAGAATTCTCACCTGAATTTTCGACATTTGGACCGGAAGTTTCTAAAGTCACGGGACTAAACGCATATTTTCGTACACATACATATTTCACTACATTTAGTCTGACAATTTATTCTGCGTTTACAAAACGAATACCAATTCACATAGTAATATATTTATAGCATAGCTCTCATGTATTATCAATTAATTATTCATTAAATGTATTAGTTGATGTTCATTTAGTTTTGTTCAGGGATGCAATTGTAATGGGATTTCCAGAGCATGAAGCCTAGAGCACAGTGAGCACCATTAATCTTCATTATTCAGTTATAAGAAAAATACATTCTATTATATTAGATATTAGATAGATGGTGCTGTGGCCTAGAGGAAAGGTCGTCATTTGAAGTCCATGGGTGAAGCTAACTTATCCATCACATGGGCAGTGGGCAGGGGCGGATCTAGGAAGCAACAAGGGGGGGGGCCCAAATGTCAGGTCAGACGCAAGCGCGGAAAAATAATTTGGGCCCCTAAAATCCAAAAGTGGGCCCAAATTTTGAAATTTTGAGGCCTATTTTTCAAAATTTTGCCTGAAATTAAAAAATAAGGCCTTAAAAGGCTCAGTAATAACCATAAAAGCCCACTTTTTGGGGCCTGAAGGCCTTGTTTGGCCCAATTTTTTTTTCTGGGCCCCCAGCCCCCCCCCCCCCCCCCCTAATCCGCCAGTGGTGGGTCATTTAGATTTTCTCAATATGACTATCAATCGTATCTTATATTAGGATAATATCATTAAACCAATTGATTTTGAATTAAATTGATTGCAAATTGAATGGAATGCCATGCTTACGTTGATGCCCATGGGAATCACTACAAACGTTCACCTCGGCACTGGCGAGGTTACTGATATTTTGACTAACATTGTAATGTCAATGTCTGTATTTATAATCTGCAAAGTGCTTCTTTACATGTATGTAAGCCTATTTATAAGTAGATATGTTTAGATAATCATAGAACATGGCTTTTAGACCTATAAAAGTTGAATGATACACAGATACATGTATATGGCATCATCTCTTGGAATAAGACACACTTTCCCCGAGGAAGTGATTAAATACCGGGAAATGGCTGTTAGACTACTGCGCTGACTTAGCATTCGGCTTTTACAAAATATGTCGCAAAGATTCAAAATGGCTTTTAGAACTGAGCATGACGACGCTTTGATTTTTAAGCTAGTTTGGCGGCAATACTCGTACTTTTGAAAAACTGAAAAATTGAACATTAAATGCACATTCTGTGTCTGTTAATACAACACACTAGGAACAAAATACACTAGGAACTAAATACAACAACACTAATTTACGTGGTGGTTTTAACTTTGTAATTATCTTTAATTCGTGTTATTGTAAGGTTCTTTGTTATCGTGTTCTGTTCAATTCTAACATTCTTGATGTTTTCCGGGTGCTTCTTTGACGTATATTTGCTAATTTGTACCGCGTTCGGAAATAACAATGCAGACAGCTTCGGCAGCTGGATGTTCAATATATTCGACGAGACAAATGGGTGTCACGCTGACAAACTATTATATACAATTTGAATAAGCAAATGTACATGGACCTAGGACGGCTTTAGTGGAATGAAGTCGAACCAATTTTTAACTCGAGGCTTGCGGATTTGCACATCGATACATAAATCCTAAATATCTTAGTTAACACGTACTTTTGGTTCGGGGATCATTGTTTCCCTTCTACATAGCCTTTATGGCTCCTTAAGGAACATAAACATATAAAGCATGATACATGAAAAGGTACGTTAAACCAGGGACAGGAGCAGTACAATCTGTACCACCGGGCATTTCTTTCACATAAGCGATATCTCACAAATATTATGTGATTATAATATAAACAAATACATGTATATCTCCAATCGTTTCCCATAAGCTAAGTTGAGATACCAATCAAATATTGTACGATGATTTCAATTAGCACCATCCTTTGGATCCGTGTTTTTCCACATTGAGTTGAATATGATGAAAATTCAATTCAAATCCCGAAGCAATGTAATTACCAAAATGCATCAATGGGCTTAACATTAAAGGTAATTCTAAAACGCTTGATGCTGACGTTTTCCTCATTTAAGAACAGAACTATGAAGAGATTGATGTAATGTATTTAACGTTGCTTTATTTGATAATGATAGCACCTGCTACCATTTGTTTTCAGTTGATCGGTGACTTTGCAATCTACGTACCCTTTGCATTCGTTCGACTTTGCTTCTCAAAATCTTCGTCTTCGTCGTTTATAACTAGACTCTGCGCGCAGGGTACAATTGAATAAACATAAATTAGTCTGGCAAAATCTGTAAACGAATAATTCAATATACAGTAATCGCATCTTGATTATACGAGGGGTGATCATATATTAAAATCTCATGATATATATAACAAAAAGATTCAAATTGAAATGGTTACTATAGGTAACCAAAAGTAGGTAATCAAACGATCTCGGATCAAAATAAAAAAGAGAGATATGAGAACTTTTGAATGATCACCCTCTGTAATAAATCGCTTAATAATTGTATTATGTTTGTCAACATCTGAAGCATTTCCTGTGAAGTGCAAAGTCAATAATTTATTTCGGTTTCTAAAAGTTATTAGGCAATAGAGGCCACCGGCATTACAATATTGTCGATAAAATGGGACCCGTGGGTATTTGAATGATTGAATGATACAAAATGAATGTCAGTGAGGTTTTCGTCATCAAGTGCATGATTTTGTAAACTACACTCACAGTACGCTTCGATTTATGCTTAGAGAAGAAGGGATAGAATTATGACAACTGTTTATTGAATATCTTTCAGAAAAAACATCGTAAATACCAATACGCATTTGCGATGTCAGTTGCCTATTTCATTTAATGATATTCATCCTTAATGAATAAATGGCGTATCCCTTTAGACGAAATAAGATTTTTTTTGATACAGTATGTTCTCATTAACTCATTTTAGTTCAATTTCCTCCTTTTATTTAGAGATCATAAGTATGTGAAAATCCCTTTATCCGATTCAATACTTCTTGCAATGAAATTGCTTATATATAATATTACAGTATATGCTTTAAAGAGTTAAGCCCTGGACTCGGTCCGATCCAATGTGGAATGATCATTCCTTGAAGGTGTTGCTTTCCAATATTTGCATGAGACGCGCAGCATCGAGTGTTAATTTTAGGAAACAACGCCTTAAGGAATGGTCATTACACAATGCATCGTGTCTTGAGCTTAAATTCTTTGCACACATTGCAAAATATTCCATGTCACTTAAAAGATACGAACTCAATAAATGAACATATTATCAATGACACTTTTTGCAAGGGTTAAGTTGGCAAAGCATCAATTTCAATCTGTAGAGTCAACCACATAGAGTGACCTTGGATGAGGTGATTGGTGATACAATGTACTGGTGTAATGTGAAATACTGTGTTCGGATTGGCTAGAATGGTGCACATCTTGCCTAGCTATACTCATTTATAACGTGCTATCATGCTTGAAAATTATAATATGCTTAAAATGTCATTGAAACTTATGTATGTCATCGTCTTGCTAATGTGATGTCGGATACTTTATAATGAAACCATGTTTCTTTTAATGCAATATATCATTCATGTAAAATATATGTTTAAAATAAAATTATTCTTCCTTGTAGCCATGCTTCTAAATGACACGATGCTTCTAAATAATGTCAGTTTTGGGTGATATTCAGATGAAAGATCAAAGAAATGAGCAAATATTTGTTTTTAGTAGTTGGGATATTTTATTAATGAAAGGGCTCTTACACGAAGCTTTGTTCATCCATTAATAAGATCGTTTGTTGTTTTATCTCATAGCGATCTCTTCCACTTATTTCATTCTTTCCATTATGTCAGTACTCAAATATTTATAGCTGTGTTATATTCTTTGTGGAGTGAACGAACGATCAAATGGAATAGTCATTCTACGAATAATAGATATTATAGCACATTGGTCAATTTAAATTTGTATAACAAGGACATTTATAATTAATACAGGCAATGTATCTGTACAAACACCGAAGACGGGACTGAAGAGTGGCATACCATTATTGTAGCACCATCGTATCTTAATGCCGAATATGACAAACAAATACAATTATTTGTTGAAAAAATATTTTGTTTTATGTTCCCAAGAGTTGTTTTGATTACTAGATTTTACATGCTTAAACTATATACAGGGTGTACCGAAAGTATGTTCCCCCCCTAGGCAGACATATACCAGTGTCTTCGTAGTATGTGTCATACAGGGTGTCCAAAAAACAGGACTGTAAGAAAGTTGAATATTCGGTCAATTTCGCATATTTTGCCTTGAAATTTTAGAATCATTTAGTTCATTCAATGTGAATTTTGTTCTAGAAGTTTGAGGATAATTGTATCAAAGACTACAGTACTTTACAGAACAAGCTCAAAGTGGGCACTTCTCCTCTCTATGCACAAACGAATACTGTGAACCAAGTTGTTAATGACCTTAACCTATACACATCAATGTGGATGGTACATATTGGGGTAGTTATTGCCCTCATTAAGATTGTTAGGGGCCTGTCAGTATACACATTGGCTTTGAGAAATCCCAAAAGATAAAAATCTGGGGGATTTAGATCTGGCGAATGAGCTGCCCATATGGTTTTTGCATTCTGCGACTGATGAGCTGACCACCAAAGCATTGCCCAAACCATTTCAGCATATCATTTGCAGTGTTAGGGTGGTATTGGCTTGTTGAAACCACTGTTTATCTCCTTAGTATAGATGACCCTTCTGGTGCTTAATCACCTCCAAAACTTAGCGAGAACTTACTGGTCCTTGTTCATGGTGAAAGCACGTCCCCAATCACCTTCGAACCAAGAAGGACTAACGATTTCATGTTTCCTCGTTGCAACCCAGGCAATGCATTGCATTGTTCAGAAAATGCAATGGATGGTATAACATTTCATCAGGAGATATAAGCCCCAGTTTCAATTATTCTTGGAATAAACCTGTCCATTCAGAAAGATATGTGTGGAGGAAGATCATC